CGCGAGCGATGAACGACTAATGGCCAATTCGAATGACAAATGCCTCTCTTTTCTTTCTTTCACGCGCTCGATTCTGTATTATGTGACAAATTTAGTAACATCGTTCGCCCTACTGGCAATCAGCCAGATAATATTCGTTAGCCAGCTATAATTAAAGATTTTTTTAATTCGAGGAATTAATGATAGCCAATCTAATATGATGACCAGAAAATGCATGACGATGATATATTATTATATAATAATGATTGTGTTGTATAATAATGATTATATTATTATATAATATATTAATCAATATGTAATGAAATATATATTATGCTGCCGTTAGCGTTAATAGCACAAAGGCCATTAGAACACACTAATCCATAAATTAAATTAATGCTATTAATTTACAGTTATACTCTCTTAAAACTTTAGAATTGATCTATCTACAGCACTTAGTTAATTATTCCATATTTCGGTGATTTTTTAATGTAATTGGGCAACACAGTGAAGTTTAATTGAAAATAGTTCACATAGAATTTATGGATAAACATAAATCGGTTTTCCTCTCTTTGCGGATGCCAATATTTTGTCAACAATCTTTTATAATATCATTTCACATTTTATATATATATAAATGTTTTTATATATTATATTTGTTTCATATATATTTTATATATATATTTGTATATATATTTATATATACATACGTATATATATATGTTATTTATAATTTATTTATTCTTTTTTCTTTTTGTAATAATCTATAATGTATCTATCTTCTGTAAATATATATATGTATATATATATATATATGTGTGTGTGTGTGTGTGTGTGTGTGTGTGTGTGTGTGTGTGTGTGTGTGTGTATGTGTGTGTAAGCATCTCTCTGTATAATATATTATCTATAATTATTTTCGTTATGTAATATTTATAAATATACAAGTCAATGTTTAAAGAACTGTGAGCCAATGTCATCAGCTTATGAGTTTTGTGTGTATGTATGTGTATGTATACATATATACAGGATATTCTATAAGTTTTGACACAGTGCTTATGTGCAAGGGTGCTATTCTGTACACGTCTATGGTTTCTGCACCGATAATTGTCGGTGTCGTTATGTGTCATTGCGAAGATATTTTTTTTGTATGGTAAAAAGGCTGCGCAATGACACATAATGCCATTGACAACTAGCGTGTACAGAATAGTACCCCAGGTAGAGCGGACTAAACTGAGTCGAACTTATCGGACTCCCTGTATATGTGCTTATGTGTATATAGCATATAAAGTATGCGTACGCACGCACGCACACTTATATACAGTTTTATATTTTATTCAACGCTATATAGCTAACATTTCAATAATCATTTTAACTAAATCCATTTTTTATTACTATCTAGCTCGTATCATTCCTTCCTATATTTTTCCTACTCCCACAGAAAGAATGATTATAAAAACCTTTCGTAGTGAATATCTTTTCCTTCAAACAGTGGAAACGCAATAGATTTGTCTGAAAATTTTTAAACCGATCCTAATATATCTAATGACCTGTCGGCTTACTTCTCCGTGAGAAAGCTTCAAGATTTATTAAAATTTTCCATTTGGCTCACATTTCGTCATAAACGGAGATTTCCCAGCGTTCCATACAAACGCTTCTTTTACCATACGAAACCCCCAAATTACGCGATGTGGCTAATGTAATCGAGATTTTCCAAGATAATAATTAAAATAGTCAACAGAAAATTCTCATATCGACGTTTACAATCGAATATTTGATATCTCTAATAAATCAATTAAAATACACGAAATTGCATTGGTAAAAATTCAAGCATATATAATAAGGGAAAACGATCGAGAAACGCTCGTGTACAAATAAAAGACCTACAAAAGGGATTTTACGAACAAGCGTTTACATCATTTCCAGAAAGTAAACGCCCATACACACTACTTTCTCCCAAAGGCACGTAATAATAAATTCCAATGTCAAGTCCGATTAAATGAAACTAAAGTAAAAAAAAATATATATATATATAAATAATCGCAGTCAACTGACGATTGCCTTAGAAGAGGAAATAATTAGACTAAAAGTTCTACATAAATAATGGAACAGATTATTATCTGCAAATGTCATGTAACATGATGTGCAAAAAATTTACTTAGCTTACAAATGCTAGCGCATGCAAATAGATTTTTATTCCTTAGAAATACACGTAAAAGTCTCCTGAATAGTCGGAGCAACCGTATTAGATCGTAACGTCATAAGCGAGAAATGATATATTGAAGTTCCTTCTTCTCCTTGAATTTCCCCTTGGACTTCCGATCCAATGCACAGGATCACAGTACCATGCGATGATTTTGAATCAAAAGATCCATTGATAGCTTCTTCGTGGGATAGAGGCTCCATATTCAGATCAACTCGTACTCATTCAGAGTGTTACTCCCAGAATCTATATCAGAGGCCTGTTCTTTTTAGATGAACTTTTGCACCAGTTTATCTTTTTTCCCTTTCTCTTCAGGAGGAAAGAAGAAAAAGAAAGATGAACTGGTGCAAAAGTTCAGCCAAAAAGAATAGGCCTCAATTCTTAGCTTGACGAAGATCGACATGTTGAAGTTTCTTGCAAAGAGGATTGGATAGAGCGGAAGGTCCTTAATGAAATCGTTATATATTTTCGCGTATACTACTGTCAGCGCTATCTTGTGAGTCTGATGCTGCATTTATCAATAGTAACAAATGACAAAAAAATTAACAGAGTCGAACAGAACTCGAATTTCGAACTCGGGATTCCTCATTTTATACCTCTACAGTAAAGTTGTATGGCCACGAATACTTTGTTACACCTAATATTCCGTTCTATCTACAAACACTAAAAATGAAATTAGGAACGTAAGTGAGCATCGGACTCTCGTCGTGATATACGCGAACCTTCCGTTCTATTTAATCCTCTTTGGTTTCTTGCATGTTTGGCTATTTGCAAGAAAATTTGAGTAAAACAAAATAATAAGATTGATTTAAAATACTCGTAAAAACCTGCTGATAGTCAGTAAACAGTCAGTAAAAACGCGTTTACTTAATGCACATATGTAGCCTTTTTTCACTTTAAGTGCCTTTTACGACTACTTATTGACTGTGGGGGAAGGTAAGAATAGGTTCGACCCATTTTTATAAGTGTTTTGAAGCAATCTCATTATTTTTTTTACCCAAGCTCTCTTTATTTACAAATAGCATGCAAGAAATTCCAATGTGTCATTTCTCACTTAGGACGTCACGATTCAATATGGCTGTAGCGACTACTCAGTACTACTTAGGAGATTTAAAAAGTAACAATGTTTGATGTTAAAACCTACATATAACTCTCTCTCTCTCTCTCTCTCTATGTATATATATATATATATTAATTTAAGCACTATAAAATTTACATGATTATATATATATAATAATATATATATATATACACACACATATACAGGGTATCTGATATTAGGTAACACCGTTCATGGATAGATAAAGTGGACTAAACTGAATCGAAAACTCCTTTACCATTTTGAAAGTTTTGCAATTGTTATCGAGATATTAATTATTAAAGATCGCCAATTAGCACGACCCATTGTCAAATGCAGGCGTACGACTGCACAGTATAGAACTGCCCACCGTCGTAGCTTTCTATATAGGCATGCGGGAAATTGTTTACTACAAACGGCCTTGGCACGCTCAAGCGACGAAAGAAAACATCTTCCTGCGCTGAGTGGTCATATCGCGTTTGCATTTGGTGGTAGGCCGAGCGAATACGCACTTATTCGGCGATTTTCAAAAATTAATATTTCGATAACTATTGTGAAATGGTAGAGGACTTTTCGATTCAGTTCAGTCCGCTCTACCTACCCATGAACGGTGTTACACCTAATATCAAACACCTTGTGTATATATATATATATATAGCTCTCACACACTTTGAATATAGTATATATATTAAATTTCCAGCCAAGGTATTTTTGCGTTACATAAGATGTTTGGGAAAGATTTATAAATTTCTAAGGCCCAAAATTTTAAGTCTTAAAAGCTCGTAACCCTTTCCTTATGAAACATCCTGTATATAAACTCTTTGGTTTTGCCAAGATATTACTCTGTATTTGGTGTGATCAAAGCGAATAATATATTTTGCAAAAAAGCGAGAAAAATCCATTAGTCTAAGTATTTCCTATTTCGAAAGACAATGCGGAGAATGTTGATCATGGAATCCCTGTCTCAACATTTGAGTTGACCAATTGATAATTGATTCAAATTTACAGTGCCATTTTTTAACGTTAAGTTCTGTATGAGGTGAATTTTTCAATTACGGTGAATGCATAACATTGGACTCGTAAAAACTGGGGATGTGATTATCTAGACAAAAATCTGTCTGAGAAGAAGCCAGGTGTCGTGTAGTAGTCAGTATGATGTGAACGCGTGGCTAAAAGAGATGTCATAATCGTATATTCCGAATCCGATAACAATAATATAGTGGATTACCTTAATGGTAACACGCTATAGACAATAACAATTAGTTACTTGTGGCAACTCTGATGCAGTATGCGTGTGTCGTGTGTGATAAAGCCCCGTAAGGTGTGTATCACAGAACAATCGTAGTAGTTATATATTGTACAACATACATAATATTCATATGTGTGTATATATATATGTATATATATATATCATAATTATCTTAAAAAATAGATAAATGTTGACGAGCCATGATGGATGTGTAAACGTAAATGATGCGACAATGCAAGCGCTATAGTGACAACGTAGCGCGATAGATGACAATGGG